CCCACCGCTCACGTGGGTCCGTGGAGGAGGAGCCGAGCGTCCCGCCGTTCGCTGATTGGCCAAAGCACCATGGATCGACCGCACGGCTTTAAGGGGTTGGGGGGGGTGGGCTGTGTCCCACTGAGTTATGCCATGATTGGCCTAAGGGGAAATGATGGCCCGCTGACAGCCGCTTGAGTCCCGAGAAGGCGCGGTTGGTCTTGGGGGTGCTCCACGATGATTGGCTCAAGGAGTACTAATTGACCGTGGGCAACTGACAAGGTTCGGAGGGAGCCTGCCTCACAGATTGGCCTAGATGGGATTGATGGACGACAGACAGCCTCCATGGGTGGGAGTGGGCAGGCCTGCTTTCATCCGATTGGCGGATGGGGGACTCCTAGACAGCTGCCAAAACACCAAGGGGGCGGTGCTGCACGCCACGCTGCTCAGGCGGAAACAGGACTTATATAGAAATGGGCGTAGCGGGCGGCAGGGAGGGGCCGGCCGCACTGTGCGTAGGTGGGCAGGGTAACTTTATGGTGATTGGCTAGAAAAGACAAATTTAGAAAGGAGCAGAGGTAGGAGGGCAGGATGGCTGCCAGACGCGCGAAGGAGCATGCAGCGGCAGAAACAAAATGCCTACAGAACCCAAGGTTGAGCTGTGGCCAGAGTTATAAAGGGACGGAACCTGACTCTGCATTGATTAGCAGCAGCGGGACCCAACCTAGAATAGGGGCCGGATCAGGGAGGGTGGGATCCAGGTCTGTGCCTATTGGCGGAAGCTGGAACTATTAGAGACAGGGGCTTAGCCAAGGTAAGGCTGAGACCTGCGTGTGTGTAATTTAGGGTACCTGAAGTACAGATGGGGTGTGGGAAAGGGGTAAACCTTAGGGACAGGAGTGAAGTGCTGATTACCATGGGGAACAAACCTACACCATGAATCAGCCCACTCTCTATGGCAGGAAAAGGAATGGAAGGAAGGGTGAGGTGGGAGCCCAGGTTGCCAAGGTGACAGAAGAAAGGGCAGAGCATAAAGTTAAATGGCAAATGGTATAAGGCAACAGGCTGGAGGCAGGACTTCCGGAATGCTTCACAGGTTCCACCCAGAGACTGGATCTCTGAGTTTCTTAGTAACTTCGTGCTCTAGAAACAGAGCAACCAACAGGGGTTATGGGGGGAAAGAAGGGCCATGTGACTCAAAGGCATTCAGGCTTTTTAATGTTGGAGGGTGTGGGGGTGAAGAAGTCAATGTTGAGGCTTCTCTGGGTAATTCTGCAGGCCTTGTAGTTCTCTAAGCCCCTGAAAAACAAGATAGAAAGGACTGAACAAAGATTAGGTCCAGGCCTCACCCCAGGCTTGCTCTGACCTCCCAGCTCTTGGTTCCAGTGTAGAGGGAAAGATGGTCCTTCCCTTCTTTGGCTCTCTTCCTTCTTCAAGTCACCACCCTAAACAAGAGTCTGGGGGTGGGATGAGCTGCTCTCACCTCTAGCAACATGTGGATATGGGCTTTGATATTCATGGAGTCCTTGGTGAGGCTGTTGCTGAGCCTGGAGAAAAGAAACAAGAAAGGGCAGAGTGGGCCCTATTTATGATCATGAGGATAATCCTTCCACATCACTTCAAGAACTACCTACATCCTGGATGGCTTCCACCTGGCCTGCTCCGAGGCAGATGCCTAGCCACCATCTGGTCTTCAGTGATTCAAAGATTACCGAATGCCTATTGTATACCAGGCAGTTTTCAGCACTGTAGAGATAGCAACAAACACAAAAAAACAAAAATCCTGGCCTCTTGGAGCTCAGATTCTTGTTAATAGAAACAGACAAAAAAAAGATAGAATATATGGTATGTTAGATGGCTGTTAAGTCGTCCCTTGGTATCCTCAGGGAGCTGGTTCCAGGACCCCAATGTATATCAAAATCTGCACACACTCAAGACCCACAGATGACCCTCCGTATACTTGGGTTTCACATCCTATGAATACTGTGTTTTTGATCCACATTTGGTTGGAAAAAATCTGCATGTAAGTGGACCCATACTGCTGTTCAAGGTCAACTGTACAGTAAAAAAATTAACCAATGAGGAAGGATAAGGAATGTGGGTGTGTGTGTGCTCAGGGATGGCTTCACTGGGAAACATTTGAGTAAAGACTTAAAAAAAGTGAAGAAGTGAGTAGTGTGGCTATATGGAGAATGAATGTTCCACACACAAGGAACAGCTGAGGTGGGAGTGTGCCTGGCATGTCTGAGGCACAGCAAAGAGGCCAGTGCGGCTGGAGAAGAATAAGCGAAGGGGGATTGTCAGAGGTAAAGTCAGAGAGTTAAGGGGGAGAGGCAGATCATGTAAAGCCTACAAGGCCATGGGAAGGACTCTGGCTTTGACTCTAAGTATATGGGAGCCAGGAGAGGATGTGAGCAGAGGAGGGAGGTGACTCGACAGGTTCAAGAGACTCCACCTGGCTGCTGCGTGAAGAAGTGACTGGGGATAAGCTGAGCTAGCACACAAGCAACTTGTCCAGTGAAGAGGCTATTGCAGTAGTTCAGGGAGGAGACAGAGGGCCCGAGTGCAGTGGCAGCCGTTGAGATGATGGGATACATTTTGAGGGTAGAGTCAACATGATTTATCAAAGGGTTGGATGCCAGGTGTGAGAGTTGAGGATTCAAGGAAGACACCAAGGCCTAAGCAACTGGAAAGTTGGAGTTGCCTGAAACTACCCTGGACTGTTGAGTTACATAAAGCAGTCAATTCCTTTTGTTTCAGCCAGTTTGGATCAGGTCTCACCCAAAAGAATTCTAATTGATACAAAAGTCAAGGAAGGCCTTTTTGAAGAATGAAGAATGAGAATGAACTGAAAAATGCATAGGAGATCAGCAGTAAGAGGTCCTTTTCTATAAGAAGGCCAAGCAGCAGGAAAGAGCTGTCTGAGAAGTCAGGTCAGAGTGTTAGAAAGTAAGTCAATGCTGGGCCGGGCGCGGTGACTGATGCCTATAATCCCAGCACTTTGGGAACCTATAGGTTTGAGACCAGCCTGGGCAATTTGGCAAGACCTCATCTCTACAATAAATCAAAAAATTAGCCGGGTGTGGTGGCACGTGCCTGTAATTCCAGCTACTTGGAAGGCTGAGGTGGAAGGATCACCTGAGCCCGGCAGGTCGAGGCTGTGGTGGCCATGAGTGTGCCACTGCACTCCAGCCTGCGTGACAGAGTGAGACTCCAACTCAAAAAAAAAGAAAAAAAAAAAGAAAAAGAAAAAAAAAGAAATGAAGTCAATGGTAAAGGAAAATAGTATAAGATAAGGTTCAAGAGGTAGGAAAGGGGCCAGTAGTGGTGGCTCATACTCGTAATTCTAACACTTTGGGAGGTAGAAGTGTCAGGATCACTTGAGGCCAGGAGTTTAAGCCTGAGCAACAAAGTGTGAAATCCCATCTCTACAAAAAATAGAAAAATTAGCTAGACATGGTGGCCCATGCCTGTAGTCCCAGCTACCTGGGAGGCTGAGGTCGGAGGATCGTTTGAGGTCAGGAGTTTGAGGCTACAGTGAACTGTGATCATGCCACTGCCCTCCAGTCTGAGTGACAGAGTGAAACCCTGTCTCAAAAAAA